AGTGGGACGGCTGCAGCTGTAAAGTAAACTGTTGAGTCTGGTGTGTGTGTGAACGGTTGGTGGTGGTGGGAGGGGCTGATGGCAAAGACTGGTTGCCTCGCTTCTGTCAGAGTGCCCCAGGGCAGCTGTGACTACAGTAGTCACTAAGAATAATGACACATGAAAAGACTTTCAGTGTCCTGAAAAGCGTTATATAAAACCAATGCATTATTATTATTTTTATTATGAGAGACAGAGAAAGAGAGAGAGGGAGAGAGAGAGGGAGAGGAGGGGAGGTGGAGCGAGGGAGAGAGAGAGACAGTAAGAGACCAGAGAGAGACAGAAAAAGACAGAGAGACCAGAGAGAGAGAGAGAGAGAGAGGGAGGGGGGGAGCAAGAGAGAGACAGGGAGACAGAGACAGAAAGAGAGTCAGAGAGAGAGAGAGACAGGGAGAGAAACACAGAGAGAGTGAGACAGAGAAAGAGATAGAGAGAGACAGAGAAAGAGACTGGTTAAATCAACACGGCAAGTTTATTTGTAAAGCACAGTTCATACACAAGGCAACTTAAATCACAGTTTTTTTCCATCACAGCTTCAGATCAGACACGTCATATTTTCCACACGCAGTGATTTGAGTCAGCTGCCACTCTCGTCCCCAGTCCAATCTCCGAGCACGTCAGGCTAATGTCCCCTCACTGCCTGCACCCCGAGCCTGGCCACAAATGGACTGGATGTGGGGAAGTGATGCGTTAAATTGACTACTCCGGGGCGTCCCAGGTGGTCTGGGAGGCGCGCTTGTTTTACATCTCCTCACGGTGTCTTTTTTTACAGATCCCACAGTGTGCAGACGGACGAGGCCCCCCAACCTGAAGACCGGTCATTTGTGTTTTAGTTGGGACTGGGGAGAGGCAGTTCATACACAAGGTAAACTCAAAACGCTGAAGAAAATAAGATAGAAACCACCACAAAAGGCGTAAAAATCATAAATAATCACAGTATATTAAAAAAAGATTATTCTGATTCTGGTTTTAGCTGCATAAATCTGAAATGCTGCTCCTCAGAGTCAGGAGGCCAGTCCCTGTGCTTCATATAATACGACGTTAACAGTGGGAAGAAAAGTTCCACTGTTCCAGACATACTTTTTGAGAGAGAGAGACGGAGAGAGAGAGAGAGAGAGAGAGGGAAAAAGAGAGGGAGAGAGAGAGAGAGAAGGAGAGAGAGAGAGAGAGGGAAAAAGAGAGGGAGAGAGAGAGAGAAGGAGAGAGAGAGAGAGGGAGAGAGAGAGAGAGACACAGACAGAGAGAGAGAGACACAGACAGAGAGAGAGAGACAGACAGAGAGAGAGAGACAGACAGAGAGAGAGAGAGACAGAGAGAGAGACACACATACAGACAGAGAGAGAGACAGACAGAAAGACACAGAGAGACAGACAGACAGAGAGAGAGACAGACAGAGAGAGAGACACACACACAGACAGAGAGAGACAGACAGAAAGACACAGAGAGACAGACAGACAGAGAGAGAGAGAGACACACACACAGACAGACAGACAGAGAGAGAGAGAGAGAGGGAGAGAGACAGAGAGGAGAGATACACAGACAGAGAGAGAAAGAGACAAAGAGAGAGAGGGAGGGAGATAAACACTGAGAGAGAGAGAGACAGACATAGAAAGAGAGAGAGAGATACAAATCCATTAAAGGGGTGATTTTGGGATTTGAAAAAGCGAAAAGTGTTACAAAATATTTACGGTGATAAGAACTTGAAACCTCTGCAGGAAAATCTCACACAATGATTTACTTTTTAAAATGGTGTTTTTCATACTTCGGACACAAGGAGGCGCTCTTATGTAATTAGGACATTCGTTAGTGTTACTTTTTTGATTCCACCTGCAAACGGGGCCTTTCTGAGAGGAGTTTGCATGTTCTCCCTGTGTCGGTGTTGCTCTTTGCAGATCGCACAAAGCATGTCTCATTTGCAGATACCGGGGATTTTAAAACATGAAATACAAACTTAAAATGTTCTCAAGATCATGTTTAAGGGTCACAGTGGAACCAGTCGCAGAAGTTTTGTTTTTTCAGCTCGGATAAAACAGAGAAAGTGTCGCTGGAACAGACGCGAGACCGAGATCAGGGAGTGTGGTGCGTGGAGGCTGTCGGAGCTGACACTGATCCTGGTGTGACGCGGAGACACGCAACACGGCTGAGTCCACTACACACACACACACACACAAATAGACACACACGATGGACACAAACACACACATCCAAAGACACACACACAAATAGACACACACAAACACCGTCTGAAGTTTGCCAGAGAGCACATGGATGATACAGCAGAGGATTGGGAGAATGTCATGTGGTCAGATGAAACCAAAGTAGAACTGTTTGGTATAAAGCATGGGGGTGGAAACGTCATGCTTTGGGGCTGTTTTTCTGCTAAGTCAGACGACTGATCCGTGTTAAGGAAAGAATGAATGGGGCCTTGTATCGTGAGATTTTGAGCCAAAACCGCCTTCCATTGAGTTAAATTTCTGTTTTTGACCAAATACTTATTTTCCACCATAATTTACAAATAAATTCTTTAAAAATTCTACAATGTGAATTCCTGATTTTTTTTCCCACATTCTGTCTCTCACAGTTGAAGTGAACCTATGATGAAAATTACAGACCTCTGTCATTATTTTAATTGGAAGAACTTGCACAATCGGTGGCTGACTAAATACTTTTTGCCCCACTGTATGTTTTGTTTTAAACCATTTCATTGTAGATTTAGTTTTGTGTTTTGGGTCCTTGTCCTGCTGGAAAGTGAATCTT